AATTCCTGTTTCTGTATTTCCTTTCTCCCCTCCTGTTATGAGAAGAGGGATTGGGAGGTAAAACTTCTGAAGAGAAATGCTTCATTCTGCTAAAGATGATTACAGTAGACAGAACCTTTGCTCTGCAAAAGTCTCATTGCAGAGATTCAGTTTTAATGGAGAACTTAGGCAAGAAGACCAGATACCAGGTGCTAAGACACAGCTTCTCAAAGAGATTTCATACCTTTCATCCACCTGTTCCCTCACCACAGCCAAAACCAGCACCAAGTCAACTCTTTCATTTACACCTTTGACTCACCAGCCTGACAGAAAGTTTAGCAGAAATCCATCCAGTTTCTTTTTTTGTCTTGCTCTGACAGTTTTTAGCTGACTTGCTGAGCTGAAGCAGCTTATGGAGGGATGCAGTGAAAGTCACAGAAAGTAGATAGTCGGAGAAAGCAATTAAAAGTGGTATGATGAGACTTCTTCTCTTCCAATAGCAAGAAGTATTAGTGAGCTCACCTTGTCATGTAAACACCCTCATAAGGAAATAAAACTCCATCCAGCTGGCACTGGACCTTCCCGAGCAGCAGCACCAGGATACCAGACAGTGGGAAAGCAACTGGTGGAAGCATGCAGGAAGACACAAGGGGCCAACTGCCCTTCCACAGCAGTGAGTGACCATCCATAATTCTGCCATCACTCCTTGTTAATGAAGGGATCTGGTTATGCCCAAGTATTTCATGTCAAGCACATATAAGATCTCTGATTAGTCTTTATTTCCATGCTCACAAGCTTTGTTTCCTCAAGATATTGTTGAACACCCCTGTAACATTACTGACACTTCCATCTAAACTGCATAAAAGCCACCATAGGAAATGAAAACTGAGGACTTAAAAGCTTCAGAATTCACACTGCCAATGCCACCTCAATTCATTTCTTTACAGAAAGACAGGTAGGGAAGCTGCAGAGTCTGTTTTGCTGACTTGCAACCACTGCCCTGTTGAGCTCAAAGGACTGGCGCTCAAATTCCTCTCGGCAGGACTTGTACTACATGACTGCAACAGCTGAGAGCTGTGCAAGCCCTTAGAGCACTGCATGACCATGCTCTTTAGACATTGATTCCAGTTTACCAGGGAGGCTTTTATCCTGAAAACATGTCCAAACAGCTCTGATCAATACCATGAACAGTTTCCAAGCTAGTTACCTTGTACAAGAACAGCACAGCTGCATTAGTATGGTGCTCCACCAGCACCAAGAGCTTGCTGTTCAGCAGGATTAATTAGTCTGGGCAGAGCACCGCACTAATGTGATTATATAGCTTCTAGTACCTGAGCTAGCTCACTCATCGTTTCTATTCTGCTGTAAAATAAAAAGAGCTTAGGTTTTGCTGTTTTCTTAACAGCTAAGTAATTCCAGCACCATTTTTTTCTTGGAAGAGAGAGGAATGAGACTTGGAGAAGACTCAAAATCAGATTTTCCTAATTAAAAGAATGCATCTCCTGCCTTCATAGCCTCTCTCCACTATTAACATACTCTTCTAATAATTTCTTTTGCTCGTATCAATTACCTATGCACCTGCAAGTCTTCCCTTGACATCAGGAATAATGATGTCCAGCCACAACCAACAGTGACAAAAGCAAAGACTGGAAGACACTGCACTTGCGTGGAATGGAATCATCATTGCCTTCCACTCCTTTTTTCCAGGTAGGGAACAGATACCACAGGAGACACTTGCCACAGGCATACCAGGGACCCAGAGCACTGGAGGACGACTGAAGAATGTAAGTTCTGGCAAATGTAAATGTGCTGGTATGCTCAAGTGTGCTTCATTGCTCGAGCCTCCCTGAGGCATCCTGCATGAGGACAACACCCAGGGCAGGCAACACAAGGCCATGCAGTAAAAAGTCAGCAGCCACAAGCAACTGACAGCAGCTCAACAGGAAGCACTGGGGAAAGCCCCACTGCTGGCAGTGCTGCTCTTTCCTCTGAGTTTGCCTGTAACACATCAACAGGAGAGAAACAGAGGACTAGCACAGCACCCATCAGTATTGCTGGTCTCTGGCTCACGTTCCTTCCCTGCACACAGCCAGGCCCCAGAGATGTGACACAGCGGGGCAGTTCCCACACACAGACCTTGAGAGAAACCATATTGTTCTGACAGAGTGAGAAAGAAGTGATAGCAACAGGATCTCTACTTCTTCATGTTTCCACAAGTATTTTACTCGCTCAATAAGCATCTAGCATTTCTTTTTTATTTTTGGTAATATTATGTTGGCTTAAATACTAAGAGAGGTTCAAGAACCTTTATATTTTCTTTCCTGGTATAAGTTTCACCCTGTTTGGCTTTTTTTCTAATATAAAAGAGCAAGCTGTAGAAAAAGTAGTTAAAATTTCTGGAACAAAACTTGGCTAAGAAATGCCATAAAGTCACAGCATTTCATTGCTTTGTGATTGCAAGTGATATTGTACTGGCTGGACTTCTGAACACACATGTCAACTTAAAATTTAAAACAGTAAATGGACAAAGCATCTCTAAGGTATCTCCTCTCTCAGCTTTATGTCAACATGTTGGCAGGACAGAAACCTTCTAGAACAGAAACACATGGAAGAACAACCTTATTTTTTGGCATTCTTTTCCTTTAAAGTAACTTGCTTCCTTCTGTAGAAAGTATCACCAAGACTAGTTTCAAATTTTGAGTTCTAGATATATGACATAAATCATACAATGCAGATGCGAATTCAAGGCTCAAAAGAGTATGAAAGCAGAAAGATTTTTTATGTTTGCATCTCCAGCATGTAACCACTGGGCATAAAGAGAAGAACTTTAAGGGATAATTCTGGTTTCTGTGCATTTACAATAGAGTACAAAAGTTCATACTTTAAAAAGATAGATTTAAAACTATTTAAAGTTTTAAAACTAAGCAAAAAAGACTGCAGATTAGAAATTCATCTTGACACTAAGGTAACAATACAAAAAAAGGGGGGTCTAAAGCTTGACAAAAGACAAAGAGAACAGCAACAAAAAAGCCAACACATGAAACAATGTGAAGGAAGTCAGCACAGAACAGAAACACTCTTTTATTGTCAATGGAAAAAAACATATTCTTCAAAAAAGACAAAAATCAAACCAGGCAAAGTACTGCAAAAAATGCTAAAGCAAGTAAGGAACCAAGATGTTAAGATCACATGGTAATTTAGGAGGAAAAGAAACTCCCAGAAACAACACTTAATAAAACTGAGGTATGAAGGAAAGCAAAGATCTGGAAACCAAGTGCAGTTTCTGTCATCTCCTCTGCTTAAACAGCCAAAACTCCGTCTTGGGGAGGCTACTGTGAAACTGATGCTCTGTGTGAAAGTGAAGGAGAAAGAGAATGGAAAGGAAAGGGAGCAAGAAACTGAAGAGATACTGGCCATATGTTTGTAAGTACACATAGACATGCATATCCACATGTCATAAAAGGTAACTCAGACTCGCTGGCAGACGGTGGGGCCAGCAGGACAGCAGTATGTTTAAGTGTTATCTTCCTCCTCCTGTTTAGTTACTTGTTGCAGTCTTCCGTACCACAGAATCACATACATCAGGTCTGGAGCCTCATTACTCCTAAATACTTCTACATGGCAACGTCACATAGCTGGAAAAAGAGTTTGCTGATATTTCCAACTTTCCATATGCCTCAGGGAGGCTGCATGACTAAACTAGAAGACAATATACTCTCTGCACACTTCAAAACGTGGTCTGTACCGTGTACTCTTAAGAGTTTCTCCCTTCAAAATACCTTTGCATTGGTACATGCCGCTTATGACTTAAAACTATGCTACACAATTTGCTGAAATAGTTAAAGTGACACGAGGACTCCAGAGCACAGAACACAACTTGATATTTGTGAGAGCTTATTATATATGCTCCTTGTGATATCACAGCTCACTTTTCAGAGCACTCTGTACAAACACACAATAAAAATAAATAATTTTAAATAAGGCTAACCAGGTTTCACAAATACTGAAATACTCTGTAGTAAGTCTCTCGCCTATCTCATTTCCATCACCACAGAACATGAAAGATATACTACTAATTAATTCATAAACCCTAATCTCTGCAGGCAGCTGAAATTGTCAGTTCGATAAATAAACCAGCCAGCACTGATGGGAAGTTGAACTGTATTACCAAGGAAATTCTTCTTCTGCTAGAGGACCCTGTCAAGCTCTGCCCACGACAGCATTACCTAGACACAGTTTGGAGAATTTTTGTAATGAAGGATTTAAACCAGCACCTGAACCAGCCGAGCAGCAGGACCGAAAAAAGGCGGTTGAAGGAATTTGTCAAAAGCACACACAGCTCTGACACTTTACCGCTGCAACCTAAATTGACTATATTTCGCCAAATGCCCCCAACTCTTTAGACGGCCGAGTGAAGAGTGAACCGCACGGACCCGAGACAGACCCGACCCCTCTGGAGCGCCGCACCCGCACCGCACCCGCGCGGCGCCGGACAGCCGCGGGCAGCTGCTCTGCCGGGAGCGCGGCACGGGCACAGCCGTGCCCCGCTGTGCCCCGCACCCCGCGGGGCATCTGGCGCCCACCGGCCGAGCCCGGGACGTCCCATTGGGAGCGCAGGCGGACCCGCGCCGCCCTTTCTGCCCGGCGCCGCCGTCCCCAGCCCTCGGCGCCCCGCGAAGCGATCCATAGCCAGCCAGCCCTCGCGGGGCTTCGCCTTCTCGCCGGGTTTCGGTGCAACAGCTGGGGGAACCCGGCAACGTCGGGAGGGAGGCGCAGCCGGCACGGAGCCGGCAGGAACGCACCGCGGGCTGAGAGGATGCAACCGCGGGCGACGCCGCCGACCTGCGCTGCGGCTACCGAGGGACAGCCGGCCAGAAAGACCCCTTTCCCGCAGGGAGGAGGCGGCAGGAGCGGCCAGGGGTCCCCCAACACCGCCGCCAGAGCCAGCAGAGACCTGTTGCCCCGCGCGGGACTGTCGAGGCGCATCCCCCGGAGCGGGACCGACAGCCGCCACCACCCACCTCTTTGATTTTCTCCCTCCTCTGCCGGACCTCGGGGTCGGCGGGCTCCTGCCCCACGGCGCCGACGGGCTGGCGGAAAAGGCGCTGGGGCAGCCCGGGGGCACCCGCCTCCTTCCTGCCGCGGGCGTCCTGCAGAAGTTTCTCCTTGTCCTGGCGGATGTCTCTGCGGATCTCCTCGGGCAGCTTCTGCAGCGTCTCCTTGGCCTCCCGCAGAGCCCGCTCGTGGTCCGCGCGGATCCGCTCCAGGCTGCCCGCCCCGTCCGCGGCCGCCGCCGCCGCCGCCGGGCCGCCTCCGGGCTGCGGAGGGGCGCGGGGCTGCCCGCCGGGCGGCGGCGGCGGCGGCTGCAGGGCGGCCGAGTGGAAGAAGACGCCGCTGAGAAGCTTGGAGGAGTCGGGCAGGAAAAAGATGGCCCCGAAGCAGAGGGTGATGAAGGCGCTGAACACCAGCAGCAGCACGAACTTCTCCGTCAGCCGGAACGCGCCGGGGCCCGCCGCCTTCCTGCCCCCGCCGCCCGCGCCGCTGCCCGCGGGGCCGCCCAGCGTCCCCGGCCCCGCCGCGCTACCGAAGAGCGGCAGCAAGCTGGCGGCGGGCATGACCCCCGCGCCGCCTCAGCGCCGCGCCGCGCAGGGACCGCACCGCACCGGACGGCTCGGCTCCGCCGCCCCCTCCCCGCCTCGGCTGCACAAAGTTTCCCCGGGCGGACGCGGCAACTTTTCCCTTCCCCGCGGCCGCGCTCCCTCTGCTCCCCCGCCGGCAGCGCTCAGCAGCGTCTGCGGGGCGGGCGCTGTCAGCTCCAGCCCATGCTGCCGCCGGGCCGCCGCCGCCGCGGGTGCCGCTCCCCGCTCCGCCCGCGCGGAACTCGTGCACGCCGCTGCGCGCACACACGCGCGCGGCGGGGGCCTGCGAGCTCACGGACGCGCGTGCACGGGCGCGCGCTGGGCCGGGGGCGGTGCGAGGGGAGCGGGAACACGGCCGGGCCGGGAACAACTCCTGACCCCCCGGTTAGGGTGAGCCCTCATCTGTGCTTTGTATGAAAAACAGGGGTTAATCTTATTTATTGGGGAATTTTTTTTTTGTTGTTGTTGTTGTTTTGTTGGTTTTTTTTTTTCTGTAGGTGAAAATGCACCTTGTCCAAGGAAGCAGTGTGTATATCCGTGCAATGTCAAAATCCGACTTTTCATTACACTCGTACAAATGAAAAGACCATCATGTGTTGGCACAAGGAAATACCGTGTTTGATAGTGGATCAAATTACTGCATCAAGCACCCCAGGCATTAAGCAAGAGGGAAAGTTTAAAAAAAACAAGCCAAAAAACCCCGATATTTTTTGCCCGTGTTACAGAGCAATGCAATAAACGGCAGGCATGTGAGAAGAATAAAATGTTGTGTCACTTTAACAGAAAAAGGGAACCCAGCCAACATCCAGGGGTTTATCTCCAACTCTTTTGGAACATACTCAGAGTCTACCTAGAGTTTCACAGCAGTTCAGCACTGTAATCTTAAACATTTCCCCCAAAAGGTTAACCACACAGTCAGAAAGAAAACAGTGAGATATGTTGGTCCCAGAAGTTAGGATGCTGAGGTTTGTTTGTTTGCATATTTGCATGGCTTTATTTTGCAAGGAATAAAAAAAAAATAAAGCCCACAAAAAACGACAGTAGAGGGAAGTCTATGCTTTAAGCAAGGGCAGGGAGAAGAAATTGTGTAAGCCTTAAAGACATGATTTTGAAAATGGGCTTGGCATAAATCTAATTCTGCTCCCAGTGGAATTAAGGGGAGTTTTACCATTGACTTAATAGGAATAAAGCAAAGCTGCTGCCCAGTGCTTTTCCAAATCCCTTTCTTTAGAAGTTAGAATATGTAACAGATTAATTAAGAACAGGTTCAGAGAAGAGAGTGATATAGAGTTATATAGAAATGATGGAGTGAGTCCTGCAAAACTCCCCAAAGTATATAAGCAAATTCTTCTGTAAAATTTCAGGATTATACATGAAACTGAAGGATCAGGGGCCCAACTTCATATTCAGTGAGATCAGTAATTCAATTTCGTTTTTATTCTGGTTTTCTTTTAAATCCTATTTTTTTCCTAAGTTGGATTTCCCCACATTTAGATGTGAAACTATTGCTCAAACTAAACAATGAGCACTCTGACTTTGACACACATTTCCCAGAAATGTTTAACGTAGCCTAATAGCTGTGCCAAGACAAAATTGTTTAGGGTTGAATAAATCAGACTGCTTGGAAAAGGAGATAAGAATCCATGGTGATTTTGGTGGTTTGTTTTTTTTTTTTTTTTTTTAGCAACATTTAAGGTAGCAAATATGGGGTTTAGCTGTTGAAAGACAGTTGACTAATGGAAAAGCTTCCTAAATGGTGAAATACCACTCTCAGCTTCAACGAGCATATTCTGCTTCAGTCACTGCATATGTGGGAGTGCAATATTTCTCACAGATTGCCCTCAAAACTCATCACTACTTATATGATAATATTTGGAGGCAGAAGTTATTGCTGGAAGAAATGCCTTCCTTCAGTATTCTGAAGTCATTCCTTAGGTTGCTGTATTTCTATAGCACTTGATGAACGGATGCAGGAGTAGAAAATATCATCACATGGGGTTCTGCTCCTGTGTCTCCTAAAATGAGAGACACATCATCTTTTGCCTTCTTTTGGTGTTCATCCTCAGTTCTAGGGGCCAAGTGTGGATTCATGCCAGGAGTTTCACTGCCATGCTCATCACTGTCTTTTGGGACATCCTGAACATGAGGGAAGCAACAACGAGGATTTGCTATACAAAGATGGAAATTGTGAAATTCTCAAGCCTTTGTGATGAGATGATCATTCCTCCTTCTCTGAGCAGGATGCAAAATTTTGTATGCAGAGTGTTCCTGTTGTTAGCACTTAATGTTACAGTTACCAGTAAGGTCATGTGGAACTATTCAGTGGGACTGTTGAAGCATGTAAAGTTACTGGCATACAGACCTGTTCACTACGTGAGGGCAACAGAGACTGAAAGACAAAAGAACTGCTTCAACCCAACCCTGATATACAAGTTCCTCGGGTTTTTTGTCACTAATTTACTTCAGGCACAAGGTATTCCAAGGACCACGAAAATACAAGGAGTAGCTCAGAGTAAAATACCTTTGATTCCAAGTGGCAAAATGAAGGGCTGTACAATGCTCATTTTCAACTGGCTGTGTCCAACAGGCATTTCAGCTATAGAGTTAAATCATGTTCATAGGCACTTAAATAGTGTCCAAAAATCCAACTAAAATACAAACAAGAGAAGCTTGGTGTTTGCATTAATCTAGAGACAGCAGTGGAAAGCCCACATGCCTGTGCCAGGACTTGAATTGGGAAAGCCTCTTTGTACACAACTCTGTCAGCACATCCACCTAGTGGATATGAACTGCCTGCTACTTTGGGCTGGGTATTTTTTGCTAGACAAGCTGCATTACTTCCTGGATAACATCAGGTAAAATGGGAAAAAAACATCTCTGGGCAGTTGTTTTGCTGTGCTGGGTCCTACCCATTTTGGTTATACCAACAAAACACTGGACTGTATTCCTCCCATGGAGGGAAATACTGCTTCCGTGGATTCAGCTGCAGAATCAGGAGTAATTTTCCAGCAATCATGCACAGGTCAAGCATTTATAGAAACATAGAACTGATACATGAGAGGTGGTCAGAGGGAGATTTGCATAATAAGGAACAAGACTCTTTTCTGTAATAAATGTTCTGAATGGGGAAATTTGTTACATATTGACTGAAAGGTCTGGAAAAAACCCAAACTCTTATAATTTTTTTTTATATATATATCTACTTATACCTAATTTGTCATGGTTCCAGCTTTAGATCTTGTCTAGTGATACCAGTGATAAGGAATTATCCAGCTTGATCTGAAAGATACATGCCACAGATAAGAAGAGAATTAACAGTTGTCCCATTTTTGAGCCCATTCAGCTGAGGCAGAGATACCTACTGATACATCTTCTTGGATAGTGAGTTTGTAACAATGCCACTCCCTTGAAAGGGGTTGCCAGTGTTATGTTCTAATTTAGATTACTGTAAAAACACATTGACAGCTTCCTTTTGAAATGCAATACTTTTACACAGCATTCAGAGATACTTTTAATATGTTTGCCTTTGGGAATGTGACTCATAAACCCAATTTAGACATCCAGCTCTTCATAGATTAAGTAACATGGCACAGACTTAGGGTTCCCAAGGCACACAAGCTGGATTCATAACACCCAGTGAGCTGTTTGGAAGGAGGCTTCGACCATTTGAGGACCAGATGTGTATGAAATACTCTCTATCTATCTGATTTTGGCAGCTGGCTGCAGTTCTGAATTCAGTCTGTGAGGAAAGTGTGATTCACAGACACAAAAACTTTGTTCAGTCTTCAGTGTTTTGAGAATACAGGACTGCCCGATGCTTTTCTTTAAGAGCTCAGAAGAAAGAAGTGTTGACCACTTCTCAGAAGAGAGAAGTGTTGACCAGGAGTTGGAGATCTGTCTTTGACATATTTTGTAGTCTTGGGGGATTCAAATTATCCTCTTTTGCAGTGGAACATGTACATCTCCCACCACTATTCATTTTGAAGTAGTGCTATGACTCAGAGACAAGTGCAGGACTTTGAAGGCAAAGAGGAGAAAGGTTTTCCACTGAGCATTGCTTAACAACCTTGAAGTAAGACTGCTCCACTCCCAGAGGAGCCTACAGCCTAAAGAGCTAGGGCGCTAGTCTGAGAGATGGACGACACCAGACTATCCCCTTCCCAGTGAGATGGGTGTTGGAGATTGGTCTCCAATCTGAGGACAAAAAACAGAAGAAAGAAAATTAAATTTTCTCACATCCTTTCTCAAACTTTTCCTCTAGCCTAACACATGAGATGATTGTGGCTAACCAACTCAACTTTATAAATACTGTAGAAATAAATGTATCAGGAACATGAAACTGTAGGCTCACAAACCTTATAAACACTTTTTCAACTCTTTCCTGGCATGGCTGTCAATTCAACAAGACGTCTCTTTTCTACCAGTATAATTGGAAATGTCTTCCACCCCTACCTGAGGGAGAGGATCATTCATTTCTCCAAAAGAAATCTCTTTAGTGCATGCAGCTTTCAGTGTTTGTTGGGAAGCTTTGCTGGAAGCACTCAAGTAAGCATCCAGCTAAGGCCAGAAAAGCTTTGCCCTTTCTCTTCTCCCCAAGATTTCAGAAGGCACAGAAAATGAACTGCAAGAAATCCTGTCTGAAAAAAATATTTGACTCTTGTTCTATTAAAACATCAAAGATTAAAATCATTGTCTTCAGCATTGCAAGAAACCTGAATCTAAAATTTGAACTGTGGCTGCTTCTAGTATTGTATTCAGCAATAGCATAAAGTGTATCATACTCAGCCTCAGATGGCATCTTTGAGAATATCTCACTTTGGTTCTGAATTTTTATCCTTTTATAATTGTTTTAGTGAGAGACTTTTGCACTCCCTCAAAGCAAGCAGACTTGGTCTGGTTTTCAATGTGCAAGGGAGAGGAATATAGAGGTAAACATAAAAGTAATGGAAAGAAAAAGAACTGCAAACTTTATTCTTCTTTTCAGAAATTTATCGATGTTCACATCCTTGAAGAAAATTTTAGCCATGGAACTAAGAAATGGAAGCTAGCTCTTATGGCATTTTAGCATGTAAGATTCAGAATCTCATGTAATTATTTGCATAGCAATTAAGGATGAAGTTGTTTGGAGACACCTCATGACATTCCATCTGGACCTGAGATCTTTAAGAGATTAAAAGTCATTACAGGTACATATTCTCTTCACTTCTCCTTCAGAAGTG